AAACGGCTCCAAAAGCACAAGCGTTGCGTGAACGGACCATGAAACCTCTTGCTGCTGCGGCTGCAACAACAATGGAGCAGAGCCAACATTTAGTAAAAAGCAAAACTGTAGGGAATCAAACCAGTTCTCAAGCTGCATCTCAACAATGGTACTTGCTGCACTGTTCACTCCACTTATACAGCCCTAATATTGCTACGAATTAATAATGCGACAAAATTTCAGCAAAAATCAGCAGACAGTTCGCGACATCTGCGATCAAGTCATATCTGGCCAGGGTGTTGGCGTATTCACATATCCGAAGCTGAAGCGGTAAGTAGTTTGATTGTCGTAAGCCATGTAGCCATTTGCTTTCTGTATTTGTTTGCAATTAAACTTTAAGGTTGATGGAAGATGAAAGTTTGCGCGAGTTGGTGTGTTCAAAGCTCAATTTAGGGCTGGATAAACGTCTGAGTGATGAAGATTATGTGAAAGAAGTGGTAGGTTTTCTCCTGCTATCACCTACGTTGTTCATTGTTTTTATTTGTTCATTTCAAGGCATTGACAAGAGCTCAGTACAAGGGTTATGTGCGAGTGCTTCAAGCATGTATTGCAGGAATTGAGGTACGATTCTCAAGTTTTTTTTGCAGCTTCAGATTTTTTTCTTGAAAAATTGTTCAATTTAGGTATCCTTCAACACACCTGGGTGCTGTGGTTTGGCGAGTGTTTTCCATGTGCTGGAAATAGCACACACTCACTATTGGTGCAAAGGAAACGATATAGCGTCTCCTTCCAGTTCAACACCGAGCGCGGTAAGTATTACAAATTATGCCGCAATACGGGCACTGTGTCACGGTAACGGTTCCACTCATGCCCTTGTTATACGGTTCTTTGTGGCTATCAAGATTTCTTGATATTGCTTCAAGCTGTGTGAGAACGAATTATCGAAATACTGTGCTCAATCTGAAATGCGCAATGGAGTGAAAATAGAGTTGGAGGGGGCCATTCCATTCTGCTCTGCGGCTAAACGATTAGGATGAAGATAGGGCTGACGATATCTCTAGCGGTAACCATAAGAACTTCAGTAACACGCTCATTTGTAGCAACACCCTAGGTCCAATTTCTAGGGTTACAACGATCGATAATGAGGTTGTGGATACTCAGTTGACTAAAAAAGAAAAAAATGGAGCAAAGAAAACTGTCGATGAAGCTCTAGACAAGGATACCCTTCGAAATAAGGAAAGGGCGGGGCCAGACGGTTGTGCGGCTGGCCTGCTCAACGGTGGTTGGGGTGAAATATCGCTTGAAATTTCTCTAATGCGGCATGTCGAGGGATTGTCTGCCCAGATCAGAGGACGATCTCTTCGGCGGGACATTCACACTCGGGCCTGCTGTGTTGGTGTGCTCTGCTGCGCGTATGTTCGACTCTTCGGCAACTCTCGAGTGGGGGTAAGAGAGCTTGGTGGAGGTGATTTCTCTGGCCATGTGATGTCACCGCTGGATGGTCCAGGCACATCAATGGTCGGCACGCATTTGAATTAGCTAGTACGCCTAATCCACGTGTGTGTGTGTGGTGGGGTGGCGTCTGGGCAACGTTAATTCGTACAAATTTCTTAGATTATCGCGCAAATGCGAAACTTGTGTTGTTGAGACTGTAGAGCTTGCTGCGCATTCCGAACCGCGGTGGCGGCACGGCGTGTATTCTGTGGCTACTCTATTCCCGTGTGTTTGGAGTTCTTGCGGGATAGGAGTGTGTGTGTGTTGTGGTTGCTTTGCAAAGGCAAATCCGGGAATTGATCTGGTGGCTTGGAGCTGTTCGCGAGTTGATAGCTTAGCTGCGGAGGGATCCCAAAGTGGAGAGGGAAGGCGAGAGAACTCTTTGGGAATGCTGAACTCAAGGCCTTAAAAAAGGTCGGATGTGGTACGACGGCAAGACAGGACGATCGGAGAGGTCAAAACACGCGAGAGAGAACGTCGTTTGAGAGAGCACGCTGATCTCTACATCAATGCACGCTGATCTCACCACATCTCGCGGTGGGTGGGGAAGCGTTCGATGGTTGGAGGCCCGTAAGGATTAGCGCCCTAACCGCGCGATTTTCGCGACCAAGTTGAAGTGATCTAGGTAGGTACGGGTCTTACAATTTCCCTCGCGGTATCCTTCCTACTAGTCGGGCTAATCCCGGGGTTTGCCTTTAAAGTTGCTCAGGGAGATCGGTGAAGGTTCTAGTCCTTCCATTGACAGCTAGTCCATATCTTTGAGTCCTTTGAAGTGAATCACCCAATGTGGTAGCTCTCCATTCAGCTTACATGCCCATTGAGCTAGGCAATGCCGTTGTAGCTCAGGAATCGTTCTCTTTGCTGTTCCACGTTGATTGAGCGAATCTTATCAAAAAGAGTAAACTGTCTTTCGAAGCTTGATGGTGTTGTTCTTAGCGTTATAAACGACGTGTGTAGGCCAGAGCAGGACGGAGCAGAGTTAATGTGGCTCTCTCAGTTCCATTTGCACTGCGCAAGTGGATCTAATAGTCAAAAGATGTGGCAGGAGCGGTAATATGATAGTGAGTGCACTGCTCTCTTTGTTATTATTCCGATCGTGAACTGCGCAAACAACCTTCAAGGATACAGCTTGTGACTGGGCAGGTATATAGTACGGTCAATTCGGAGAAAGCCAGAAAAAGGTGAAGAGCCGTTCAGTGAGTATACTCTAACCAGGAAGGTCTTTCAGGGCGTGACGAGCTTTTTGAAAACGGTCTTTTGCATGATATAGGGGCAGATGCGGGGACCACAGAACCATGTTTAATTTTTCCTGAACGGCCCTCTGAATACCAGAAAAGGGGTCCCTAGTTCGATTCCTCGGTGACAAATTTTTGCATTTCGAGTTGACGTTCCAAAATTCGCGCAAAATGGAGTTAGCATGAATAATTAGTACCATATTCATGATTAGGACCGTCAGTAACCCTTACAAATAGACTTTGATTGAAAAACTGGTGAAAAAGGTGTGACACCACAGTGGGGCTGCTTGATGTCACACCTCTCACACCAATTTTTAAGTCAAAGTCTTTTTGTAGGAGTTACTGACGGCCCTAATCATGAATATGGTACTAATTATTCATGCTAACTCCATTTTGCGCGAATTTTGGAACGTCAACTCGAAATGCAAAAATTTGTCACCAAGAGGAATCGAACTAGGGACCCCTTTTCTGGTATTCAGAGGGCCGTTCAGGAAAAATTAAACATGGTTCTGTGGTCCCCGCATCTGCCCCTATATCATGCAAAAGACCGTTTTCAAAAAGCTCGTCACGCCCTGAAAGACCTTCCTGGTAAGGGGAGCGGGGCCCAAATATGCTATCGAAAGACCGAATACCGGAGAAGAAAAGATGCTGGAACTCTGTGAGCAATGTCTCGAAGATAAGTGCGATGTTGCGCAGGAATCCAGCACGCTTTGTCCGCTGAAATGAAAATGGACCCAATTCTTGCAAAATGTTGTTATAAAACACCTGATAGTGAAGGTGACATGCGAAAATGCCCAGCATTCGTGATGTGATCGACCTGAAAAAGCGAAGGTGCAATGGGACGTTATCCCGATTCATGAGAGCCTCATTGTCGTCTTTTTGCTGAGGAAGAAAATAGTTCTTAGTGAATTCGTTCACCAAATAGGGAAGGCGGACGGATCTATGCCACTGAAAATTCAGCTGCAGTCATTCAGTGATGATATCTGCACAAATTACCAACTGTAGTCAGTTCGAAATGTGTTTTGGCAGCTGCTGGGCGAGAGACAGGAAAACTCGGAGTGGTAACGTTCTAGGGATTATCTCAAAGGGCAGGCCGATGAAGCAGGAGGATCAAAGGAATAAAAACATCCAGAAAAAAATCGAAGAGATGCATAAGAGATGTGGAACTCGGCGCTAGCTTGAGGAAAGTGGTTGTTGAAAAATTATGAGTTGCGTTCAAGAAGAGATAACAAACCAGATGGGCGTCACTTTGTCACGACACCTGGTTTCACCAAATGTGGTGCATCGGTATAGGGCCCATTTGGTGCCCTGTTTACGCTATATCTTTGGTTTTTGGGCACCAGCGCTGTTTACCCCGTATTTTCGCTCTTCTGGCTCTCTCACTACAGTGGTTGAGGCTGAGCGGGACTCCGAGAAGGGTAAACCGTGCTGCACTTTGTGGCGAAGTGGAAGTGTGTGAGATCATAGGGTGAGTGACTTACTCACCACGGAGTCCACGCTTCTGTTGTCGGAGTCGCATCTTCCTCAGTTGCCCAGTGATTTCTTCTCGATCAATCTTGCGCGCTCTTCCGGATCATGGCTGTTCGTTCGAATCTTTGTTGTCGGTGCGAAACCGGATAAAGCAGTTGGAAACCGATTTTCTGGGCTTCCTTTGGTGTCTGTAAGCTCGAGTGTCGAAAGCGGTTTGAGCATCACGTCGCAATCGGCACTGTTGAGTAGAAAGTAGGAGAGCATCATACTGTAACCAGCAAGTGTGAGTGGTAAAGAGCAGTGATCGCCGGAAAGTTCTGCACAGAATAGTGC